CTAAATTAAATTATTAATGTTGTCACAAAATTAAGATCACATAAATCTGGTAGAACGTAGAAGTACCTATTTAACAAGTAGGTAGACAGACTTAACCCGACGTTAACTATCTGTGAAATCATATGATTATATTTATTCTACTATGTCAATGCGGTAAATTTTTAAGAAAAATAAATTGCGTTTCTACCAGATATGTGTATGATATAATATATCACGTTTTTTATGATAAATAAATACAATGATGTATCAGAAACGTCAAATTTAACGTGCAGGTTATCTGTCAAAAAACGTTATTTTGCATTGTTTAGTATAGGCAAAATAACGTTTTCTACAAATAACCTGCACGTTAAATTTAACGTTTCTGAATTCTGATACATTACAGGGCTGAATCTCGAATATTTTTCCAGCATTATGGTTAAACCAAGGTCTTCAGTGTGGATGTATTTTGAAGAATGTATAGATAGTAATAAAAAAACAACATGTGTTCAATGCAAATTTTGCAAAGAAAAATATTCAAAAAATTCCACTAGGATGAAAATCCTATTGGAAATTGCATGAAAGCCCCCACCAGTATTCGCTCTAAAATGACAGCTTCATCGCGTACGTCTAGTCCTAGTACTAGTACTAGTACTACTAGTTGTAGTCGTCATGAGAGTAATGTTGAAAAAAATACAGTACGCACTTTATCTGCCGTTACACCCGTTAAAAAATCAAATTACATTTCTAACAAACAAAGATCCATGGTAGAAAGTTTTGTAGACGTAATGAAAGTAGAAGAACATCAACAACTGACAGCCTTATTTGCAAAGGCAGTGTTTACTAGTAATACACCACTATCAATTACAGAAAACAGAAACTGGAAACTATTCTTTAAAAGACTGAGACCCTCCTTTACGTTACCTGGGCGATATCTGTTATCACATCGTCTACTTGACGAAGAATTTGAGAGAGTACAAATTCATGTGGAGGAAACTTTGAACATTTCAGAAAATTTGGCCCTTCAGTGTGATGGGTGGTCAAATTTAAGAAACGAAAGTGTCATTAACGTTATCATCACAACCCCGCGCCCTTTATTTGTCAAGTCTGTTTTAAGTGGCACTGCAAGTCATACTGCTACCTATTTAGAAGGTATCATGTTAGAGATAATCGAGAAATATGGGTCACATAAATTTAGCGCAATAGTTACCGACAATGCCGCTAATATGCGTAAAGCAGCACGTAACATACAAGAGAAATATCCCCATATTGTGTCATATGGTTGTATGGCACACACTCTTCATTTGATGTGCTCAGATATATTGCGAGTAGAATCTGTTGAGCAGATCATTGTGTCTGTTAAGAATATTGTTAAGACCATAATGTCCAGTCAGATATTGCGAGCAAAACTAGAAGAAATAAAAAAGGACATGAAACTTACAACTTCGTTAAGTATGCCTGTCAAAACAAGGTGGGGTTCACATGTTAAATCAATGGAAGATCTCGTTAAGTGCAAATTTGCCTTGCAAAGACTTAGTATAACAGAAGACACACAAAAAGTTGTTCATACTATAAAACCCGTTATCCTAAGTGAGGATTTTTGGGTCAGTGTGGAGGGTGTAATAAACCTTTTAAAGCCCATAACACAAAGTATAACACTTCTGGAAGGTGATAGTCCTTCTATTCATTTAGTGTGCAAATCCTTCAATGCAATAAATTTAGAATTTGATTCTAATTTACAACTGCTAAAATTACAAGAAACGGAGAGGAATAACATATTACAAAAATTTTCAGAAAGGCAGCAGTATGCAATGCAACCTGTCCACATGGCTGCTGATCTGTTAAATCCTCACTCTGTTGGCTCATACTTGTCAAGTGAACAAAAAATGCGTGCTATGAAGTTTATTAATGGTTTGGCAAAAGACATGATGTTGCCAACTGCAATAGCAGAATTAGGTCACTACATGGGCAAACTCCATTTCTTTGCAGAGAATTTTTTGTGGGAAGTACTACCTACGGTTGATGCAATAACTTGGTGGAAAGGTTATTGTGGAGATCTCTCACTTTCAAAATTAGCTGTACGGATTCTCACAATGCCATGTACATCAGCTGCCACCGAAAGAAGCTTTAGCACTCAAAGTTTAATTCACACAAACAGAAGAAATAGGTTAACAAGCAAAAGAGCTATAAAACTAAATTATATTCAGCACAACAGTAAATTGTTTAGTTCTCAAGAACCTACGACGGTTCAGGATGACAGAAACTTCCAGCATCAGCAATCAAATATTAATAACCCTGAAGCACCACCTACTAGCAGTTCCAAAGAAAAGTACTCACGAAAATCATTCTCAACCAATCAAGTTTGTTCAGAGAGTTCTGATTCTGACTCTGTAAGTTACATAGGTACAGTACAGCACCTGTATGTCCTATTACAATTTATTTTCTGTATAGAATATTTCGTGGACGTCGGATATAGAAGGAAATGGAAACTCTGACGATGACTTTAGTTACAATGATACCCCGTCTGATGCAGAAGAGGAGCATATTGATGAAACTCCCCAAACCAAAGGACAGAAACGCAAACGCGATACTACTTGTCTACTTAGTGCAAGTCATATTGCTGGTTCCGACAGTAAAGATGATTCATTAGAAGTACTGGTAATATAAGTGAACAAGTACCTTTTCCGATATATTATATTATTTTACTTTCAGAACTGCAGTATACATAATGCAGATGAGTCCGTATATGATCCTGATCCCCAAGAATCCCTACTCGAATCTGATCTTCAGTCAATAAGCTGTAAGTCGTTTTACAAAGAAACAATACCGATAACACGCAGAAAGTAGCGTAAAGTACAAGTACAAGTGATTCAACCATTTTAGTTAATTAAAGAAGACTGTGAATTTCTTTTTTATTAGTTTGATAAGTAGTTCATTTGTTTCGTGCTATAGCATAAGTTTATGTCTATTATACAATGTTACTTTGGGTTAGGAGTTTAAGTTTTTAGTTTTTCTTATGTTGATTTACAATATACCTACTTCTAAACGTATTACCCATGAGTCTTTTCCAGCAAAGTATCAAACATCCACACTACACAATAAAATATCTTCCAAAACTCGTATATTTCATAAATTTCATAAATTACAGACAAAACTGTAAGTTACGTCATAAATTACGTGGTAAGTTACAAAAAGATAAATTTCATGAAATTAAACATCACTAAGTCTGACTCGATTTGGAAACACTAAGTATTGCAACTTTATGAATCCACAAAACAATATTCAAAGTTCTATTAGCAATAAAAAAATAACCCGAATGGCAAAGTGAAACGAAAGACTTCTATTCCACGCTAAAATAGATAGGTAATGTAAGAATAATGATCCATACGAAACCGCTTTCTTTTTAGATGGAGCGTAGCTGTGTAATATTACCATTGAATAAAATTCGATGATATTGTGTCTTTATCATTTATAATTGGCAACCTCAAAGGAATCAGCAATCTGGTGATAAGTTTACACTTATCGCGCATACGGGCCCGATTCGGCCGCACGCGCTGCTCGTTTTATACAGATAGAAAATGTGTATTATAATAGGCAACTTTACATACTCCGTTCTGAAGTGAAAATCATGTACTGTCTAGCCTTAACCCATGATAAAAGATATAAAACCTGGAATCAAAATTTAAGTAATAATTTTGACAATATACTGACGATTGCAAATGCCCAATTATTCTTAAAAATCGAATTATCTTCAAAACTACTAGCTTTTCGGTTATTAAAAAAGACGTACAATTACCCATAGAATTCAAAAATGTATTCAAATACAGAGGGTTCTATTTAAAAAAATGTACCATTTTGGCACCCTACTTGGTAGTGACTGTATGGAAATATTGCAGCCAATATTCTAGAAATCCAGATAGACAGGGGAGCGATAAAAGATTGCTCACCGGCGAAAAGAAATGACGGCAGATGTGATGCATTCTTTCTGCGAAATAGAATGTGTCTTCTTGAGAATATTCCTTTAACTGCAAAAAATTGCTTATTTCCGAATGTTTTTAAAATGTTACCCAAAATCGTCCTGCAACCTTAATTTTCATGCTTACTTTCTGTCAGGAAGTTTTAGTTTCCATGACAGAGGCAGAGCAGACAACGTTTACTGCCGCTTGTCACTTTACTGGCCGCACCTGTCACTTTACCGGCCGGACGGTCACTTTACCGGCCGCATTTGTGACATTTCCAAATGTCTATAATGACTCCTTTCATCACTGACAGATTCTATATAACAATTGAAATTTTATATTAAAATACGATTTTGGGTAAAATTTAATACAAAACTCGTCAGTAAAATGACATTACCTGACTCGGAAGTTAAAGTAGGTACTCAGCCCCTTGAGGTCTCGCACTTCAATATTTCCTCGCCAGTAATGTATCATAAAATTGCACTCGGTCTGTGATATGAAATGCGTTAAAGCGGAAACGGTTCAAATTTAAAATTGGCAGATACTGTAACCTTCACAAAATGTACTGCGAAGTCTGTGGGAATACACAAAATTGGTAGTGTGCCCAAATTTTTGAATTTACCTGACACAAGCTCTTATGCCGGGCATTCCTTTCGTCGAACTTCGGCAAGTATTTTTACTAATTCTGGAGAAGAAGCGGCACGGAGGTGGACTTCTGCTTATTTGTTCAACATTATGTGGAACAGTCGCAAAGTTCCAAAGTCGATGTCGCCAAAAAAATTTTAGGCAGTCGATTATCAAGACACCGAACGGACTAATAAATCACTAGTGGTTCGGTAACAATGTATATTGTGTATTTAATATGACAACTAATTAGCAATAATTATTGTTCTATTTTTCAAAACAGATTTACTTTGAATCGACTCCTACCTACGACTGTCCCATTGATAGGCGGCTCTTCTATTTTATCTTTATGGAATCCTTAGGCCATGATATGGCCACTAACAGCGACTATAATCTCAGTATTATCAACCAGTCGTAAATAAATTATATTGTGAGCTGTCGGCTGTAATAAATCAAGTATATCTGCTTCGTTAATTAGTTATATAAATAATACATTTTTTCAATATTGTTAGTAATCGGGTAACTACACTGTTCTAAGTACGTGGTTTAGAGGGGAATCCTATCGTCTTTGCACATTCGGATAAAAGGCAGGCCAATTCAGTTCATGCACAAGTTGTAAGCTACAAATCTATGAAGATGTACAAGAAAGTGTTCGTTTTAGCTGTAGTTTTGTCCGTAGTATTTGCAATGGGGTCAGCCGCATCCTTTCAAGGAGAATCTATGGGTGGGTGTAAACACTTATGTATGATTTTAAAAAACGATGATCAAGTTTGACGAATGATTTAAAATGTTCGAATTTGGACAAGTTCTCTTCCACTTGTAATAATTATCCTATTATTTTTCTAATGTTGTATTATTAATAGGTCAGATCGTTCGTGAGAAACGAAGCACTCCTCTATGCAAGGTATCCTGCGAAGAAGATTGCCGTTTGAAAGGGAAAACGGGAGGCGATTGCATTAACGGATTTTGCGTATGTCCGGATTAAAAATAATCTAAAAATGCTTGCTTTCAAGTGTTACAAATAAAAAAGCGAGTAAAAAAGCTTCATTATATAAATGTTTTGTTTTTATGTAGATTGCGGTCAATAGGTTATAATGACGGTCATACGGATACCGTACTCCAGCCAAATAAATGTATTCCTTTACAAGTAATCTTTTCTTCTTGTTGTGTACACAAACACTAAATATATTTAAATGTGTCATATGCAAGCATTAAACGGCATAGGTCAGTTGAGATACACAGGGTTATCATTGAACTGTGAACAACCACATGCCACCTGAGCCCCACATTCCGGATTATTTGTTGAATATCATCATTCGTTTTTGTTTCACATCCAAAAAATCGCCACTCCTCGCTCTGGTATTTCTATCAACCAACCGTCCTAGCTGCACCTCTTCGGCAGTTCTGATGGCCGTGTCTACATCGTGTCATGCCATAAAGACAATGTGTCAAGCCAGCTCTTATTGCCAAAGTCGAAGATGACGCTAATGAATTCCAAGACTAGAACTATGCACTTTGTTTCTGTGCGTGTGGGGCTGTACAAACTTTATACCATTTCTTTGTATTTTTTTTTAATTTTTAACCCCTTTATTTTGTCAACTTTTTGAATTTCCGTTACAAGTTTGACTCGTTAGATGGCACTGTGTCTTTCCTTGAATATCATCGTGTATTAAATTACAGTGCATTTTTAACGTGCGTAGTTAGCATATGTTTTAAACAAGCCACCTGTTACCACAGTCGTCTATAATTACAAGCCATGCTGAGAAGTTTGGCAACGTTGTTCGAAAGTCAATCGGTGGGCTGATTTAAGTTTTAATGGCGTCTTGTTGCTCGTGAAAAATGGCATTTTTCCTCTCTCCTGTGTTTCGCCTTGGTGGTTTTAATACCGAAGGTAAATACTTAGGCAGTTTACAATTGTGCATAAATATTTTATTTATTTACAAAAATGACTTTAAAATTCGGAACGCTGTAAATTGGTAACTGCATCATAATGTGCTTTCCATCGAGATCTCCGAAATTGGTGAACTTCTGTCGAAAGAGGTCGAGGTGAAGCACACGCTTGAGCACTTAATTTCGGCAAAAGGACAGTAAATCGCTGTGCATCAGCGAGGTTTTATCAACGACCAGGTGCGATTCGGAATTGCAGACTTTAAGCCAGTCGCTACTCCTTCAGAACACCGACTTGACATGTCCGTGCTAGAATACCTGAAATACAAACTAATAAAATAATAATTGTATTATTTCACGATAAACACATACCGTACTTACGTACCACGTAGTTTGTAGGTCATATTTGAGCTTGTACAGGTACTTTGAACAATTGCAAGTGCTTGTAAAGGGTCCAGTAACGCGTAGCTTGCTTTGGAGGTTATGACAACAAATCGATATATTTCGTTTAGCAACTTACCTGAATAATAATTTCTTTTCATTCCATACGGAGTAACACAAATTGTCGCAATCTCGCTCTGTTAAAACAGGTAAATAGGAATATTACACCCAAAACACATATAAAATACACCTAAAATTTGTCAAGTTGAATTAGGAAATCGGCCTACCATGCAGTGTTGGCATAATTCTCAGCACTGCTTGTAAATATAGATGGTTGAGCTGTTACGTAATGAGTACATGTGGGGCTATATTTTTAATTGTTCTCGACAACCTGTGTTTCCATTACTAACGTATATCCTGTTAGTTTAACTGTAAACTGTTTTGTTCAATTGCTTTATTAAGAAATCTTGGCACATGTCACCATTTAACAATCCAAGGTTTTCTTGACTTTTTTCATCTCACATTGTAAGTACGCTTTATTTGATTACAAATGTCTAAATTAAATGTGGTTCCACTGAGGAAAAGTCGCGATTGGCACTCGAAATAGCTGGACTTCCAAATAAATAGTTGAATTTACGTTCGCCTAACAAATACCATCGATTTAACCCTAACGAAGGCCGATTACTTCCCATCAATTAAGTAAAGTTAACGTTTGACATGTTCAGCAACTCCAACTCGTCTCGCTCCGATCGATGTTGAAATCCAATGAGCTCAGGACCGCCCACTGCACGCAGCAATTCGAGTTTCGGTTCGGCCAATCACAGGTAGGTAGGTTTCAACGCGACTTTTTCGTCACCCTCCAAGTAGACTGTGCACGGACCGCGCATAAAACAGAAAATGACACTGTTCTTCGGAAATCTCGCAATCCTCCTAATTTTCTCTGGAGTGCCGTGAAGGATCGTCTTCGATGTAGTGGCTGGATGGAGATGTCTTCGCTCGGTTCTTTCTCTTGATTTTCTTAAAAAAGTCGCCTCAATTCACTATTACAAGAAAACGCGCTTATGATTTACGGGCGCGACTGGTACAGACGTTGCTCCGTGAAAAGACGGCTTTTGTTAATTCGACAGCGATAGCGAGCACAGACGGATTCAAATCGTTCTACTAGCTCTAAATGAATTATTTACAATGACTCGGACTTTGACCTTAGCGTTAATACTCGATATTTATATGCAGTTTTTTCCCTAATTTACATTATGGTGAACACAATTCTATTTACGCCGCGATTATTACTTATATTTAATTTCCTTTCTGGTGGCCATATTTAAAATCCACATTCGGATACAATCAACAATGAACTGAAATAAATTCCTTTAGATACAATAATCTCATTCATCGGGATTCGTACTTGGGAGTCATGATTATACCTATTTAGACTTAACATTTTAATTACGTAAAAATGAACGTCTAAACAGAAATACTATTACAAGCTGTCAAGTTTTTCCGCGGGTAAACTCGAAAAAACTGCTGACAGGTGCTGTCATACAGTTTTTCCATCTATGGGGATTTACGATAATTCAACCGGGTTGGTAGATTTTGCTATGGTTACAATTATTGCCACAATTGTTTCTATGGTGCATTTTGACATCCGTGAGCTACAGTTTTCTGGAGGGCGCTTCAAACTCAGCATTTGCTATTGCTGACTGGTTATCTTCAAACACGACGAAAGACTGTTTCTCACGAATCTTCAATTCTTCCAACAGCTCCCTTAGAGTGGCTTTATATAGTCACTGCCAGATACTGTAACATGACAACCTGTACTGCGAAACCTATGGGAATACACAAAATTGGTAGTGTACCCAAAATTTTGAATTTACTTGACACAAGCTCTTATGCCAGGCATTGCTTTCGTTGAACTTCGACAATATTTTTACTAATTCTGGAGAAGATATGACTGATATATATATTATGCCGCACGGAGGTGCTTATTTGCTCAACATTATATGGAACAGTCGCAAGGTTCCAAAGTCGATGTCGCCAAAGAATTTTAGTGATTGTCAAGACACCGAACGGACAAATAAATCACTAGAGCCAATGTGGTTCAGCAACAATGTTATTTGTGTATTTAATATTACGATTAATTAAAAATAAATATTGTTCTTATCAAGCAGTCGCACATCAATTATATTGTGAGCTGTCAGCTGCAATAAATCAAGTATATCTGCTTTGCTAATCAATTATAGAAATAATACATTTTTTCAATTGTTAGTAATCGGGTAACTAGCAAGTCTCTGAGTAACTACACTGTTCTAAGTACGTGGTTTATAGGGGAATCCTAACGTATTTACACATCAGGATAAAAAGCAGGAGAATTCGGTTCATGCACCAGTTGTAAGCTTACAAATCTCTGAAGATGTACAAGAAAGTGTTCGTTTTAGCTGTAGTTTTGTCCGTAGTATTTGCAATCGGGTCAGCCGCATCCTTTCAAGGAGAATCTATGGGTGGGTGTAACATTTATGTATGATTTTAAAAAACGATGATCAACCAATGATTAAAAATGTTCGAATTTGGTTCTTCCACTTGTAATAATTATCCTATTATTTTTATAATGTTGTATTATTAATAGGTCAGGCCGTTCGTGCGAAACGAAGCAATCCTCTATGCAATGTATCCTGCGAAGAATATTGCAGTTTCAAAGAGAAAACGAGACGCAATTGCGTTAACCGATTTTGCGCATGTCCGGATTAAATAATCTAAAAAGGTTTGCTTTCAAGTGTTACAAATAAAAAAGCTACATTATATAAATGTTTTGTTTTTATGTCGATTGCGTTTAGTAGGTAATAATGGACGGTCATACGGATACTAGGGTAGTCTTACTCCAGTCAAATAAATGTTTTCCTTTACCAGTAATCTTTTCTTCTTGTTGTGTAGGTGTAGACAAAACACAATGCAAAATGCCGAGATTTTACAGCTAAATTGGGTCCACGATTTTTAGGACCCTCGGAGTGGAGTGGTGTATGTGAGCCATGAATTTAAGATGATTAAGGGAAGGCCGCTGGTATTTGGCAGTTGGCACGTACAAAATTTCAAACCTCACTTTGAACCCGAAGATCATTCAACTTTGGTTTGATTGTGCACAGAACCACCGTGGCTATTTTATTGGATTTTTTAACCTGATTTGACTTTGATGTTCCTTTACCGTTCCTTAGTCTTAGAACCGTTTGGTTCTTCTGTAATAATTACGTACGATATTACCTTCCAAAAAACAACGTGTTTTTGGAACTACTGCTGATTAAACAACACTGTGAAATGAATCATGAATATTGAGAGCCATATAAGCGTGTAAAAGTATTCAAAGTGTGCCACCTAAAACTATACTGCTCTAATTCTGCAAATAGTTTGTTAGAATATACTAGATATAAACCAATTAAACAATGAAACCTTACGTACTAATACTTAGACCAAGAAATGTTATTTTGAAAAACAATTAAGCACAGAAGCAGTATCCGCCAGCGCAAGCCCCGGTGTTTTTGCCATTTAATATGCAATGTGCTCTGCATGCTTCATTGTATGACTTCGGATCATTAGGTCTAGACGATGCAGCTTGGCAGGAAATTTCGCGTTTAGATCGCACCATCAACCCTGTAAAGAACACAAACCATTAAAAGATGTCTTTAATTCGAAAACCGTCTTAAATAGGTACCTCCTTCATAAGATGGAGCAGAATTGGTTACTACGCTGCATGTTATTAATAAAATAAATGCAAGAACTAAGATTTGGTTCTTCATGATGTTGTTGCAATGTTGCAGATGGATTGTAAGTGAACTGTTTCGATATTACGAGTATATGACTCCGACTGGTAAGTAATCCCAGCATTTTAAAAAATCCCCTGCAATAACCAAAATAATTGATACGGGAAACTACTGAGAGTGAGATTCATTGTTTGATAACAGATATAAATTTTTCCTTGATGTGCTACTCAAATTGTAAATAATACTGATAAAGTTTATTTTAAAAACTTATCATACAGCGGGCGCTTTATATAATTATGACTAATATTATTTACGAGAGTAAGTAGGTATCTATTGAAAACAAATCCATTATAAAGCTCCAAGTGATTGCAAGTGGTTAGGCAATTAAAAATGCACGGGTGGAAAAACTGATTATGCCCCTATGCATGTTACTAGTGAATTCCCAGAATTATTCCATAGCCTAATATTTATTTCGATTTTACAAAAGGTGCTTAAAATGATCACCATTCCTTTCCAAATTCCAGCAGTGAACCGAATCGAAATCTTTATTCCTTTAGAAATGAAAACCTATTGAGGACCGGAACCCGTATTATTTTTTTCGGTTCTTTTTGGTATTTTACGGTTCTTAACAGGTTATTGAAAGTTGAAAGACACGCCGGCAAACACATTCTGAAAATAGGTAAAATATTACCCTACGATTGCCGTCGGGGGATTATAGATACGTTTTTTATAAGGTGTCGAAATTGAAAGCAGTTCGGGTGGCGGTAGTGGTAATTTAGCCACTATTGTAAATGTAAATAATAAAAGGAGGGGCGAGGTTTTAGAAAATAAAAATAAAAAATAATACCCCATACATAATTCTTTTACATAAGTTTTTGCGTATTTTTTCTATTTTTCATTAATAAATTAAGTTTAAATGCATATTTCCCTCTTCTCCCTTTATTAAGCGGCAGAGCAAAGCGATGCAAGCATTATAGGGGAGTCGAAGGTGTCCGTCTGTCCGTCTGTACGTGAACACGATAACTGTCAAACGCTTGGACCGATTTGGCTTAAACTTTGCACAGTTGACCTATAATAAGCCTGTTGAAAATGGATCAAATCCAATGATTGGGGTCACACCGTGGTGCTCTGCCGCTTTTTTAAACGCTCTTTATGGGTTTATTCCCCTTGCCGTTGTAAATAGCTACACTGACGATACGTCACGTTTTGGTATTCATGACTTTTGACATCTTTTCACACCTATGAATTAATAAATTGTTATAATGAATTTTTTAATACCATACTTTCTAAAAGACTAGAACCGAAAATAACCGTTATAGATCGAAAAAAATGCGCAAAACCGATCGTTATTTTTTTAGAACCGAAACCGGACCGGAACCGTCATAAATATTTTCGCTTAAATATAAACAGAACAGGAACCGATATTTCATTTGCGTTCTGGTCTCTGCTTTCCAGGCACAAATTAACTTAATTTTACGATACCACTCTCCGTTTACAGTTTCCTAAAGCAAATGGCTCCACTTATCCTCCTTCTTGACATACCTACCCAAATGTCAACCTCTTGGAGATCTAAAGGTATTTTAAGAAAAATGTGCGGATTTTCTGCTGCCCAAACTGACAAATGTACCCATGCTTCGTTTGAACAAAATGTTAAGTACAACAGATTGTTGTTTTTTAAGCGTACTGTGAACCATGCAATATTGCACTTAACGACTGCGGTAGTAGGGAAGAAATTTTGTATGGATACATGTGTAATACTACTTTTTAAGCTTTGTGGCAAGTGCCAGTTGTTACTATAAAAAGTTTTATTTTTAAGTTGTTTGCTAGTTGGCAGGTTCTTAGGTGACATCCTTCCTCCGCAACTCCCGGTTCATTGCCTCTCCCTACATCCCAACGTAGTCGATCCTCTTCTACAAATCAGCATTTTCCATTGTTTTGGGTGTTTTTTTTGTATCAGAGTAGTTAAAAATTTGTGGGAAAAAGTGCTCACCTTCAAATTTATATTTCTGCCCTGTATACAAGCTGTCATTTAATTATTCGTATTCGATATCTTATATGTTGGTAGCACTGTATAGAACGTAACCGCTAGATTTCGACTGGGGTTTGGGCTGGTTTTTTTTTTTGGGGATCCACCGTCGGAATCAGGAAGTATCTACTCAATAACGAAGAATGCAAGTAATAAACTGTATACATGTAATAGAATGCGAGAATGCACAACATACACTCTAAACCCTAAATTCATTACCTTGCTAGCTCACCGGATGTGTTACGGCTGAAGGTCATGGAGCGGGCTGAGCAAAATGGTTCGGTGCAGTCTCCCATTTGCGACACATTTACGTCTCGGATGTGGACCAACATGAATCTTCCGACGACTTCGTTCAGGCTGTATATCTCGGAGGGTAGGGGTGGGGTTTCCATAAAAGCTGGCTCTGTTGCCCGTTGAGAAGTCGTAGTTACATCGTGGATTTCCTGGTTTTCTTCGATGTGGATCCCCCTTTCTCGTAAGGGCCTTCTACACCTGCGCAATAGGCAGATGGGGTTAGTCATTTCTTCACCCAAGCACGGTCTGGGGTACATTCGGATTCTTCAATTAACAAATAATATACATGATTGGTGTCACTACCTCCAGGATTTGATAAGAAACATCCTTGCGGGTTGGTAGTTTTGCTGTATAAGCATCTTGCGCGGTATTGACGAATAATACACGATCGCCAACTTTAAAATGTACATTTCGCCGATGCTGGTCCTGGTACACGTTTCTGCGATCTTGGGATTTCTCGTGATTTCTTCGCGCTTTTTGAAGGCTTCACATCAACGTCACTAACTATGGAGTAATGAGCAATTTAGAGTAAAAAGAAAAGGATTATTTAGATAGAGTATTATTTAAATCTTTACGTTTTATTTTTTTTATTGCGTTTACGTGGCCCTTTTTGTCAATATGTAACAAAATTGGATCACTAAAATAAGAACTTGTTTTGCAAAATTAACCTTAAAAGCCAGTTTTTATTTCAATAGAGAGAGAAACGAGATTGAAGATACCAATGTGAATTAATGTCTCTTAAGTTTGCCAGAATATAATGCATAAAATCGGGTTTTACTAATTTTTGTAATTATTTCTACTGTAGCGTTTATATCAAAGCAGTGACGAAGAAACGCCGAAACGGAGACAGCAATACGCGACGCTTTGCGGCCCATCCCACACGAATTCCCGCCGAAAAACAGTTCAACGTTGCCATTTTAGGTAGTATATGGTTGGTTGCCTAAGTGGCAGTATAAGCTTCCGATTATCATTACTTTTGTCGGTGATCGTACCTATGTTCTTTCGGCACCATAATGCCATGAGATGTTGGCGTCGTGATACTCGGTCACTATGGGTAGTCTTTGCCCACTTGATGCAACATGGTTTTTACCCATTGAAAAGTTTGCTGCGTGTGCTACCGAATTCCAGTAAATCTGGCTTAAAGGGTGTCGTATCAATTTACCACACTTGCCCTCTAAAAGACTGACACAAGAAATGGCGATATTGGTACGCGGAAAGTGCTGCGTATTTGACATACCTATGCTTGGTTAGATGTAAACTCTGGAGCTTGTAGGTAAAAACATTTAGCACACGAAGCGGTAACAAACTCGAGAAATGTTCACAGAATGTTTAGCGTACGAGGATAATAATAAAACAACAAAATCGAAAATTATACCCGTTTTTCGAGCTTTTGATGTCGCATATTTTCTGTCAAACACGGCCCTTGGGTTGCGGCTGGAAGTTTTCAAGGGAGCTTTGAGCTCCTACCTGCTCCTTGTTGCGAAATATGTGCTTAATTAAAACATACTATGACAAATACTTAACCGACCATGTAGAGGCTTCTCAAACGGATGGTTGGAATTTGCATGATATAAAATAAACACGGAGCCTGATGTGTATCAGAATTTCGCGTTTATATTAGCATGCGAATGCATTCTTAAGTGTTAATTTCTTCCTTTTAACCTTTTAAGTAGTACACATTTATTGCAGGTAATGTGAGTTAATTAACAAAGCTCGAAACGTTCGTCGGCGTCGGAAACGCACAATTTAAAAAGCGAACGCGACGTCGTCGAGCGTCGAATCTGGTTATATTAAAGTAGGAGTAATTGGTCGTTCATTTAAATATGTTTTAGATATTCACACGTATAAAGTTGGGTTGAATAACAGTCACTGTCCAGCTTTGCGCGTAATTTCGTGGCTGGCGACAGTTGGTACGACAATCGCGCGGTCACAGCCGCTAATATACAAATTACGGTCCCATCATTGATATATTAGCAAACAAAACCCCCGTGGTCCTCTTTGTGGAATCAATCATTGCACCATATTGTCGAACTACGTACCTAATTGCCTATTCTAGGACGTTTGAGTACTTTTCAAATTAATTAAGCCGTGGACCATCAATTATTTCTATTTCGTGTCCGAATGTTCATTTAATTTTTATTAAAGTGTATTGATGTGTGGAGTTTTTTGGCCCACGTGTCGCTGGTATCTAATTACTTACTTACGGGTATTTTTAATTGCACTTAAGGAGGAAAATCCTTTGAAGTCACCATGCCATCATAATATCAAGTAGGTCATTTTTCACAGTATGCGCCTCGGTATGCGCCAAAGTTTTATCATCGGAATCGTTTGTCCGAATATGCACTCGCTTTTCTAAAGGTGTAGTCCACCCATTCGGGGGGTTGAAGTTTTGTACAAAATCGGTAAGAACAATCTAGGTAAAGTTAGTTCTATCCGTCAATGTGTTATGGTTACCGAAATAAAGTAAATAAGAAACACAGTTTTTGGGACCTTTGGAGACTTAGCTTCCATACGAAACATTTTAGACACTTGATTTTTTAGAAAAATGGTTTGGCTATCAAATTTTACAGGTTTATATACAGTGCGATTTTTAAGAAGAAGACATAGGGATTTATGTGTACTGTTTTTCACTATGTCTACTTTTAAATGACAAAATCTCTTCTGAAGGGCGCCTAGTATTATGCAATCAAAATAAAGATCTGACTGGAAAAAAAACAATACACATAAATCCCTATGTCTACTTTTTAATAAACAGCACTGTACATATGTTACATCATCTATACTCAAAATCGCTTTCGTCATAACTGATGTGCGTATGAATTACCTTATCAAAAAAAGCTAGTCAAATTTGACGCTGACTCAT